AATTAATTATTAAAAATCGTTGTCTTAGGCCGGCCTACCGCCCAATTCGAGCGCGTGGCAAGATGTGACCGCCCGGCGATCGATATTGCTATGCGCACATCTCGGCACGCGCTCGAATTGGGCGGTAGGCCGGTCTAAGACAACGATTTTTAATAATTAATTACTCGTTAACTATTACGAAAATTGCAAAATGGTACAGGACTTTTCCGTTCATCTCGATCCGTTTTACCTTCTCAAAAATTTTGTCGGATATGGAAAGACTCACCCTGTATTTGTATCACAAACCTTGAGAATTTGGTGGTAGTCTTTCGATGTTACGAAACATATTATTGGCAGGATTATCGGGTAGACTTTAAGCATCGTATAAGTTACCTCTATCACCATGTCGTTGTAGTGAGGGTGAGTTAAGAGAGCGATAGCTTTCGCAATGCGATATGGTATCATGGTGAGAAGGAATCCCATATTAACGCCAACTGCGTAAAGAAGTTGTTTCAAAATAGACAGTAGTAAAGGAAATTTGTAGATATTCACGCGTCGTACTTGTAAATTGATGGCGGGATGAAATGTTCACTCACCCAGAAAAATGAAACGCTCGATACCTTTGCTTGGCCACGTTCCGCTTAATGACTTCGACACTATCAGGTCGTATAAGATGAAATAGTCGAGCAAGATGAAGATGAAGCACGGAAATATTAGGAACATAACGGTAGACGAGACGTAAATGTCGTTCGCGACTTCTTCCTCGAAGTGGTCGTACAAGTGCAATTCCATGGCTACCACCGTAATGCACGTTACCCATATGAATATGATTCCTTTTATCGCCGTCGAGGTCTTTAAGATCGACTTGCGGAGGGGTGAATTTTTCTGACAGATGACAATGTACGCCTCGATGTTCAGCAGGATGATCGTCAGGATGGACGTGGCGAAGCTCAATAGAAACACATAGTCGAGATTCATTTCTAGGTGTACGTCGAAAATCCACTCGAGTATTCGCTCAAGTGGCTCGAGCAGGATTACGAAGTTCGAAAGCACCAGACCGAATACGTAGCAGTTAGTGGAGTTGTACATGGCAGAATTTGACACGATAAAGAGACCAAGGAAAGTATTTAGGATAACGCCTGCTATCAGCAGCACGAGATCTATGATGCTACGCGTAGACTCGGGGATGATTGGTTTAATGACGTTCATTTTGATGGGATTCGTCGTTGTAGTGAGCTGCGTGTGAACGTATAGGAATGGATTCTCTCTATGTGATAATTTTATATCGTACTCGGACATCGTTGATCGGTTGGACGATCTTTCGGTTAGTTGTTTATTACAGTCTGCGGGCCCAAGTCTCTTATTAACACGTTGAAAAGTTGTACACACGGGATCCTCGCTCCTGAAGATTTAAAAACACTTTCCTCCAACGTGTTTGTGATAACAGCCGCTCGTCGCCTCGATCGAATTACGTTTTACACTTCCGCGGGAAGAAGTTAACGACAAATTATGGTGCGGCACATGTTGCCCCGACGATCTACACGCATATTACTGACTGCGACTGGACGATAGTTTGCAGGATCACCGCCTATTTACCTTCCCCTGGGAGTGTGACGCCCCGCAATATCATAGGTGGACATCGCCGAGTAACTAACAATGTTATACAATTTGCCGACACGCAAACGTTCCATTTAGCAGAGTGGATCCTTAACGAAGCACAAGTAGCAGGATATTGGAACTTTAACGTTGCTTATGCAATCATTTGCAACTCTGGAATAAATCTATTATTTTGGAAATGAAATCAACGAAAGCTGCTCAAACTGCGTTGATAATACAAATACAATTTATCGAAATTTCCTCGATGAATGAAAATCGCTGCATGCAAACGTGCACGCCAAATTTTTCTGTTAATAATAGATTGTAGAAGCCATTTGCATACTAAGATATGAGTGCAAATGTGAATGCGCGTCGAGTATCGTGCGGAGAATTTATGGACTTTTTAAATTTACGAGCAACAAGCGCCTGTCCTTGAAGATTCGCTCGAAGGGCTTCGTTTTCTGGCCGCAAATAACGACCAGTAGCAAACAGAAAAAATAACGCTGCTGGAATAAATCGGCTCTTACGACTCGCTCATTCGGGAAAGAGAAGCGATGGGCCATAGCAGTTGGCAGGGCACGTAGCTGTGCGAAATAGGAGGAGAGAGAATGTCCTGCATGCGACTGTATAATACAAGATTTGCGGGATGGCTCTGGCAACCGGCCACAGGCACGGTATCGGTCAGCTTTTGCCGGTGATAGATTTATCGTTCGATTTATAAGTCCAACCCCCTTGGCGCAGCGGTGTGTTGCATCTTCCTGAAAATGGAGCGCGACTATCTGGCGTGTATTGTGCGCTCCGGAGACGCTCACAATCGACGCGTTATCGAGAGGAAGGAGTCGGGAAGGCCGCGCCGTCGTCCATTGTCGTCGGGGCAATGGAACGAATTAAAAATTGCGGGGGCGGATCGACAAGAATATTTATCGCATTGTATTTGCGACGTTAACATTAATTTAAACCCCGAGTGCTACGCGAGCAGTTGTATCGAGCGGTAATTGATGTTATTAGTTCTTTAAGCGAAATTTACATGCGGCTCGCTGCATTATTTATAGCGCCGTGTGTAGCAATATTCATATATTCATGCAATGACGATTATTTCATTTATAGATTCATCGATCTCTTCTTTGAATAGACAGATTAGTCTGCTATAAAGGTTGTCGGAGTCTCCTCTCGCGGTGAAGGGTTTTGAGCCAGTTTGACTACGTGTTTTCATCTTCGGACCAGGTGCGAGCGGGCGCGTGGTTAATTTTTGTGGGTTCCCTCGCGCCCTTTTCTTCTTATTTTCGTCTGCCGCGGGATCGGTTTAGTGATGGAGGGCAGTCTTGGGGCCAAATAAGTGCAGTGGCAGGGCCTCGGGGTCCGGGGCCGTAACCGGTTCGCCGCCTGGGCATCATTACGACGTAACTTAAGCGACCCTGAGGAGGCTTCGAGCTCCACGATAATCAGCGAGCTGTATTATCATCGCTGAGTAACAACATTCCATTGGTGGCCTCGAAGGTGTAAAGTAGTCATCGTACGGTCGAGTGTACGAGTAGTCTAATAATAAAAAGCACCGCGACATCCTAACAGCTACTTAAGACTCAAACGACATAAGCCAAATATCAGATTACTTTTATTTCATTGTTTCATTGTAATTTTATTTATTTTAACAAATTAACAAAATTTACAAGGCTCCACTGTGGTAAACACAAATTCGAAGGAATAAGAATCAAAGTGCCATGACAGGATGTTAGTGTCTAAATATTATTTATGTTATGTTAAAAAAAATATATATATAAACTTTACGTATAAACAATACCTTATATAAACTGTCAAAGTATATGTTGTTCACAACTTATCATTTAAAATATACATGTCTTCTTGGCAATTATTTCTATTCTCAAGTGTTAGTAAGTTTAATATCTTTATAAAAAATATTGTCAAATTAAAAATATAATTTTTAGTTATTTTACTTTAGTTTGTCGAAGTGTATACCTGTAATAATTATACATGAATGTGAAAGTAATTTACACTTAATCGTGGGAGAGAGCGTGTACACGCGCATGGAAAAAAATGTGTGCCGAGTTAGTCTGCCATCGAACTGTCAACTCGTATGAAAGTTTATCTTGGGACTGGTTAGATATTTATTTAAATGTGGAACGCACCTACCGGGCCTTCTGTCACACCTGTTTGACCTGTTTCGCACGAAGTTGAGCGGCCGACCATCAGTCGGAACCAACTATGTCGTGACAGCGTTCCCTTTCCGTGTTTATCATATAATTAGCCGTAATTAGTTTGTCGTGGCATACTATTATGCATTCTTTCTACATCTATATTATTATATTTGCGGTACAGCATAACACGCGAATTAAATCATCGTGTTGCGTTATAATCTTATGAATGAATATTAGCTCAGTGCTAATATAGAAGCCTTACTTGGCAGAAATTTCATGCATTACTTATAAATATACAAAACCTGAACCTGTTTTTTATTAGAACAGGAAGCTGCAAGAAGACGTGTAGTTCATGTTATGTAAATTCCGCACTGCGGTGATATCAGAAAAAGATAATTTATTAAAGGTTTGTACGTTTCACCGCAATCTCTGCGCTTCCAAGTGCTTTGCTCTTGTTGGTCCTCGTGTCAATAGACTCGATGTATTTTATGCATGACCAGTCAGACAAGTTTTTCCTGATGACCGCAGGCGCAATGCCTGAGGCTCGGTAACATTCGATACTTTATATGCAGGTGTATTTTTGAAAAAACGTGTGGGTTGACGACTGTCGCTTTAATAATTTAATATCAAATGTAAGAATAATTTTTTTTAACTCTTCGAAGAAAATAATTATATATATATTTCAGTAATTTACTGCTTAAAACAGCGAAACGCTTTTTCAACTGCGCATTTCGTGTAATAAGTTTTTATCTTTGATTTTAAACATTTTTTCTAGTGAATTCTTTTAATGCCTGATAAATGTTTATGTGAACATAGTATTTTAACATTTTTAATTTGCCTCGTATGAAAAAAATCTTTAAAATCATCTAATTTAGCACAGTACTCGTTGTAATTGGATAATTACCTTTTTGATCAAAATATGTATCTGCTATTCTGCCTGCTTTGCTTTTTGAAGCAAAACACAAAGTAACAAGGGAAAAAAATAATCTGATAAAAATATAGAATTTAAGGCAATTTTCAGGCATATGTGTGTCACGCCATCATGTAAGATTTAATATGTTAACGATGATCGCGTGTTACGATCAGCAATCACATATCGAGCACAAAAGCAGCCTTCCGAGAAATTTGGCTGTAACCTACGCCAATTTCTAAAAAAGAATAGGTATCAACAAAAGCGCACCTGTGGATTGCCAAGTAAATTACGGTAATCGGCGCTTTTGAACTTAGGATCTTTCAGAAGCAAAAAGAGAGAGAAAAGAGAGGGCCAAGTTTTTTTGTTTGTGAGAGACTAATTTGTACCGTGACTGAAGCGGCTTCGAAGGTTACCGTTTTGGGTAAAAAAAAAATCAATCGTATAAAATCGCGCAACACTAAAATTTTAATAATTTGTCTGCAAATATGACGCTAAAAAAGGTAAATTTGCACAGATCAAGACGATTGAATAATCTTGTTTAAAATTCCTTTCAACTTGAGAGTTTGTAGATTCGAATTTTAATAAACGCGTAGTTTGCATTTTATTGATCACTTTGCACATCATTATAAAAATTTCGATAACACGGTTATCGAACCTGAAAATTCGTGGTCTTCGAGGTAAAAAGTGGTCGAAAATCCAAGATTACTACGCTCACGTTTCCGAATAATATAAGAACGCTCGTCTTCTTCCATTGTCTAAGCTTCGAGTAACTTTTCTAGTATACACAATACTTCTATGCTCTGTAAGAATTTTTTATTGCAGTTTTTTTTTACGAAGGAAGGATCTTTGAAACGATTCTTTGTTTTACGTTCGCTTCTCTCGTCCTACATTCCATATGAAGCTTTATGCTCGTTTCAGGATACGTTCCTTTTTCTGTTTGATTGCAAGAATCATTCCGCTGTCTTTCGATTAACGCGCCAGTAATTCTTCCTGCCCGCGTACGTCTTTACCTCTGACTTACTGTTTCCATGTAAACCCGCGTGCCATGTTATGAAGTCGTAAAATTGTCTTGCGGTCATTTACGTCTTTTTTAAATTATTCACTTGCTCCATTATCATTCTCATGGTTTCAGTCATAGGCATTCTCCGCTGTGAGGTGTATCTTCTCGTGCTACTTCGTCATGTTCGCACATACGTAAATATAGAGCCATAATAATCGCCGCTTTACAGGAAAGCCGTGCAGATAAACCTGGAACTAACTCACGTTAATTCACTTCGCACGGTCGTGAGGTACAATGCGATTCATAATTAATTCGTAGGCGTTTACCGACGAAATTGTACACGCGGCATTCATATGCGGTGCAACTGCGAAAGCTCTGTTGAAAAGAAAAGTAGCGAAGTTTTACGTGAGCACTGCGCATGTGTTCAATAAATAAATCGGCATTTACGTTGCACATGCTGTGGATTTGAAATCTTCTTAGACATTCTCCAAAATTTTTGGAATGAAAATACTGCTATGGAGTAAAATAGTCACGTCATTGGGGTAAATATTCACTCTGTTGGAGTAAATATTCGCTCTAATAGGATGAATATTTCACTCCATGCAGTATTTTCACTCTAAAAACTTTAGAGAGCAAATCTCTTTCCAAGCATATATATATATTTTTTTTTCTTGCGCAATGCTTTAATTATGTTCTAAACAATTGTCGATGAGAGAGCATAGACTCTGTAATCCTTCGAAATTATAATGATCCAACGAATTTTCCGTTCAATAAAGAGCCTTTAGATTAATGTCCAGTTTCTTCAAGAGCTATTTTCTCTCTCATTATTTCGCATCTGCATCTGCCGCATAAACCGCGAACCGCACAATCGAAAAGCGAATTACTTCTGCGAGAACGAAGAACGTCCGGTTTTTTCCACCGTCCTGACCAACATCGCCAAGGCTTTCTTTCTCTACGGCGGATTCTGCCAACTTTCTTCTTCCGCAATGTTCGTGTATTGTTGTTTCTGTGGACTGCGGTTGTTATAGTTGAGACAAGTTTCGTTGCGCCACACTCGCGAAACGTTGCAACGCCATGATAATGTACTCAGAAACCTATCTGAAATTAAATATACAGTTTTATATATTAACTGTAAGTTTTAATTGCGTAACGCGTAAAAAAAGTCGTTTGCGGTGCGAAAAACCATTGTGTGAAAATTCCCCGTGGATTTTCGGTCGACCCAGAACCCGAGTCCTCGTGTTTTAATTCATTCACCAACTTTTATCACACGTGCTGTACTTTTACAACCGCCTGACATCCGCCAAACGGCCCCATGCGTTAAAGTCTTCGGATGTGAATCGGCAGCGTCGTTTAATTTGCATATTTTTCTTGCGAGGGGATGAGCGTCGCGGCGCCTCCGACGGTCTCTCTCTCGTCAACAACTGGCGAACAGTGTCGCGAATGAAACGCCAACGAAAATAGCCCGCGCGATAGCACCGCGTCTAAACTTTATGCCGTAATTCACGACGTTCTTCCCTCGTTTTCCATCCTCCTCGTGTCATCGACTGATCTTCCGCGCGTCTCTATTTCCTTCGTCGTTCATTTGTAGGCCTGGATAGACACGCGTTACTACCTGTCCCCTCCGTTTATTCCTCCAGGTTTTTAAGAAAATTACGTACCGTTATCACCGTTGCTGAATGCTCGTGAAAAAATTAAGAACTTGCGTGTTCTCGGGCGTAAAAAAAAGAAGAAATTATTGCAGCGTCGTCTATAAATATACGCTTTCGTGCATTTATTATACGAGAGGTGCGGTTCCATTAGCATTCATAACACGTACGTGAGGCAGACGACTGCCGTCGTTCGGAGGATTTCTCCGTATTTCGGAACCTGCAGAGCATCGAACAACCCTCATTATAGACGAGTTTTAGCTTACGCGACAAAGATATTAATATAAAAATATATTAATATAATTATACAACTATATAATTTACATAGACAAAGCGGTCTTTGTTCTCGTTATATCGTATACCATTTGTTGGTGTAAACAGTCGTTCAGTTAGTGCAAAAAGACTTGATACTACTGCAACTGAATCTGTACCAACTGAATATTTCTGGTTTGTTTGCTAAAACCGAATAGTTTTTTTTCCGTGTAATTATAATAAAATATACGTAGAATTTATTATTACACGTTTCTGATTATCGGGTAGCAAATTATTTTATTATAATTTCTTGCGTAGTGAGTTTCGTTTATTAAATTTTTATACTGTTTTACGAGCACGCGGAGAAAATAACATTCTAATGTGGATAAACTTAAAGTACCAAATTCGTTTAGTATTAAAAGAAGCATAGCAAATTAATATATTTTTAAACATATTTATGAAAGAGAGCGAGACAGAATATAATATTGATTTAAACATTATAAATGGGTAAAAAAAATATTCCGGTACCGGGAATCGAACCCGAGCCTCCTGGGTGAGAGCCAGGTATCCTAGCCACTAGACCATACCGGATCACGATGAGGAACCTTCTCTCGCAGTTTGACAATTCTTCGGAGGCAACATCCCTCTCGGACAATTTTAAACTCGTGAGGTTGACTGTGATCACTCGTCATCCGGTATGGTCTAGTGGCTAGGATACCTGGCTCTCACCCAGGAGGCTCGGGTTCGATTCCCGGTACCGGAAAATATTTTCTTTTTGTTTATCGTAAAATGTAAGGCAATATCTTACTATTTTTGTAAATTATTTTAAATTATTTTAATTTTATCAAATGAATTAATGGTTATTACAATAACAAGGATTAGTTATGATTAATATATTTTATTATTTATGTCGTTAGCTTTTTGACAAAACGCTGAAATAACAATATTTGCATAATCGTGAGAAATTATAAAATTTGTCATATTTTTTTTTATATAAAATATAAAATATCAAGATATTCTATAATATAGACTAATGTACCTTTGGCGCATTGACATTGCGTAAAACTGTCCGAAGAAATCATTAACATTAAATTATTAATAGCGCAAAATGTCCGGCGCTTCCAGCGAGTGAAAAATTAGCGTTCGACGTCGGCATTGATGTCTCCTATTCGGGCGGTGTTATCTAAAATTAGATCCGTGCATGACAATATAGTCTGTTTTAGTACGCGGTATCGTGCACCAACTTCGAAAGGCGTGAAATCGGGTATTCTTGGTTACCGCGATTCATGCCGTGTAAATGGAAATTCTTTTTGCGTGCCGTGCCAAGGACGGCAAACGCGGGACGACAAATCAGGAGGCCAACTAGTCCAGCTTGCACACGGTCAACTGGAGACATATAAATATCATCTGCCGTAAACTTGTAATATTATAATGAGTATAGGAAAGTCGCGAGTGCGTGTGTTTATGCTTCATTTGCGCTTGTCGTGCAGTTTGCAAGTAGCAATGCAAATGTCAGTCATCATCGTGCTCTATTTCCCGGCTGGTGCTAGCCGGATCTTCCATTCTACAATACGACAATCTCGTATGTCCCTTGATTTCATGCTAACAAATATTCCGCGGCCAGAATTATTTAGACCGATTATGCTTTTCATTGTTTAGCTTCACGTTCCTTAAAACTTTCTGTACAATCGACTGGCCGTGAGCGCAATATTGTTTTTACGCTTATAAATTTTATTCAGAAACTCATCAGTAGCGTTAACAGTTTATTCAGGCGTCAAGTTATCTCAAGCAATCCAACTAAAATAACAGAAATACATAACTTACAGTTAAATGATTATTTTGGAAACATCACAATTGCTAACTTTTCTGAGTTACTGACAACTGACGATTTCCTAGTTTGAATTTGAAAATGTAGACGCAGCCAGCCACGTCTGGTTTTCTTCGACTTCGTAATATGTGCAACACCGAGCGGGATCTGGTGTATGTAGAAGAATGTGACCAGAGTATTGTATCCGAAGGCTGAAAGCCAAGACGACGAGACTGGCGCCAGGCCTGCTCTCAGGCACGTTCGCTCCGACCACTTCTCTCGGCTCCTCGAAATTAACTGCCGTCCACTCGGTCGTAATAGCATTTAGCATGGAGGTTCTCTCTCCTTTTGCCTTTTTTAACCCTTCGTACGACTCTTTACGATCATTTCACCCTTTTGAAGGCGACGCTCGAGGTGACGTTTCCCTCCTTCGCTCGTGAACCCGATTCCCGAGGTCGTCGTCTTCCGCAAAAGTGCAAGAGAGTCATTTGTGTTTTTAATTAGGAGAAGTGAAACTGACAATGAGACCAACGAACATACGTGCGTAATCGGTTTTCTCTGAAGGTACAAATCATGAAATCTTACATTGCGTTTCCGTACACGCGTAAACTGATTTTTCCGATCTTCCCCTGTAATTATACTTTGTAGCTTCCTTGTTAACTTGGTTTTATGAGTTCCCGCGAATGCTGTGGCTTGAGTTCGTTGCCATAGTTTAAAGCATAATAAGGCCTTTCTTTCGAATACGCGATACCGCAGCTGAATAAAATTTTGTACAGCATGAAAATATTTTTTTAACGAGACACCTCGTTACTGACGAGGGAAAAATTGTTGTATGTTCATTTATAATAACTTGATTAAAAGAGGTAAGATTTTTTCTAAACGTTTACACGAATTTTACCTCGCAGTTTCGCAAGAGATGATTACGTTGTTGTAAATAAATGTGTTTATCGCGATTGTTTACAGATGTCTCTGTGACCCTCGATTTATTGAGCATGGCGTCTACAATGGGATTGCAGCAGGCTGCATCCCAAGACACAGTCGATTTTGCCGGATACTTGCAGTCCACACAATGCCATCAGACGGAAGGACAGGTGCAGGGTTGTCAAAAATCACCGCATCAGGAGCACAACAGCAGCTTTACCACCACAAAAGGCTTGCTCAATGGACCCGGGCAGAACAATTGTTTCCTCAACAGCGCCGTACAGGTAAGAGATATCGCAGTAGAATATCGTCGAGTCTTATTTTATTGAATAGTGAACTCCATAAACGTAATTTATTGCGCTAAAGTAAAGGTGCAAACAAATATAACAAAGTCAACGGCCAGATATTATGAGCACAAAGGGACGTATTCAATAAATAAAGACTGCCTGTCGATAGATAAAATCAGTGTGAACGTGTCGGCTGTACTGACAATCTTCAGCGCGTAGCTAAAACAGGCCAATTATTAAACCTATAAATGAAATGTAATAACCAATATAAATTGACTGCGTTGAACAACGTGAAGAAAGAGTAATAAGCAAGAAAGTCGATAGTTAATAGCACGAATCTGGATAGAATCTGTAAAGGCCTGCGTCCACGATGCTGGAACTTGGTCCATGGTCTAGTTTCGAGAAATCTGTAGCCAGTCAACTTGCAGCTTTTATGGAATGCAAGTTGACTGGCTACAGATTTCTCGAAACTAGAACTTGGACCAAGTTCTAGCATCGTGGACACACAGGCCTTAAGAGGCCATGGCAAAAGTTAGAGACATAGGCTGCGGTCGAGCTGTCGCTTCAAATGTTTCGAAGTATTCTTCTTCTCCTCCTTTCAGTAAAGATGGGAGGAGAAGAGAAACGCTTCGAAGTGTTTGCAGCGGCAGCTTGACCGCACCAATAGTCGATAGTGTAAAATATATGTTATATTTGTAAAAAATTATGCATATAAAGTCTAATTAAATGTGGAAAACACATATATACGTGCCCTCGCGCGCATCCTCGGATATAATTCGCGCACGCATTTTCCGGGAGGTAAACGGGCGCCTCAAGTGTATGCAACCCGCTGAACGATCCTGCTGTTCGACCTTCTCGGCGCAAGTAGGCGCAAACGAGCATGTTACACATCAAGCTGTAATCAAATCAATTATAAATAATTTAATTAATTGAGTAGAAGTTTCTAGAGTACCAATTAAAACAGGCAAATTAAAGTACTTGTTTACGATAATATTTAATTCCAATTGCAAAGCTTTTTAAAGCCGTGTGTGAGAAAACTATCGCGAAAATTATCTCAAGTTCGAAAGCGTGGAAACAATTTGTACGATAAAGTCAACATGCACATCTGTATAAAGAAATGGAAATGCAAAAGTTTGTAGTCCTTGGCATTCGAAGGCTGTCGCGCATTGATTCTCGTTTGCCATTTTCTTCAAGACTTTTACGAGTCCCGTCGTCCGCGATTTATGAACATAATCCATCGCCAAATCTTCAAGCTCGTTGTCCTAAGAGGCCTTCGAAGCGTAAATATCCATGACCGGTAAGTGACGGGACACGCGGGGACTTTTTCCCAACCGGATCGCGAGACTGCTTTTAACTCTCTCGCGTGAGTATCGGTGTCTCTCGGCCTCGCTGTAAACTTCTCGGCTTTTTAATGGCAAATTTTACAACGTACGCGGTCACGCTACTTCCTCCAGTTAGGGACATCGACCAGCGGTTCCAAAGTCCGGTGGAAGAGGTCACCGTTTATTCGTATTACGCGCTAAGAGGCGGTCGAGAGTGTCGTATTAAATATGATTTATTGCCTAGACAAATTTGAGGAGGTGACTACCTCCGGGAATTAAATCTGTACCGGTAAAGCCGGAAGAAATATCTTCGTGTTAGGTTCAGCTACGGAATTTTTATCTTTTTTATTTCTTTTCCCCCCACAAAAATCCTTCGCGCACGTATACTTAGTTTGATCTTGAAACAATGGATATCGTGAGGTCGATTTCGTTTTGAAAAAACGCGAATGCTAATCCGAGAGACGTTACATTCTGTAAGTTGTCGTGGCCTGGTCGTGAGGCACGCGTACTAATACTGAGCCTTACGTGACATGTGATACAAGTGTTTTAAGCGCAAACCGCGCACGCAGCCCAGGGTGTGGTAACTGCTTTGTCTCGCGTGTTACGAATAGAAAACAAACGGCGTGACGGTGTCGGTTTTCTCTCGCGAACGTAGTAATAGTTTCATTACTACAATACGTTCGAATAGACATTTCGCGATCGGGTCGGGATATATTCGCGCCAGCGCTGCTTATTAATTCCGCGATCGTGCGGCATGCGTGAAGATGTCGTTATTGATAGTTACATGACCGATGAACGGATACTGAATACACGAGTACAGACGCCGAGGGGAATTGTTTGTGGAGAATTCATTGCGTTCTGCAGGTCGCAATTTTCCCCCGCGTAACACTGATAAACCGTTTAATCGGCTTGCAAAGTTCCGAAACGGATCGATGGAAGTTGGGTTGCGCATCCAACGGCCCACGGCCTGCAAACCATCGGCTCGAGCTTAAGCCGACGATACGAAACTTGTTTTGGCCAGCTATCGCGACGCCTGCTGCACAACAGCCTGCCGAGTGTTTTTGATTTTGTTAAAGCGCCTGATGATGATCGTTAAACAGACGGGTTATCGTTTCACCATGGGCTGCCGGCCACGGTAAATACCGACTTTAAACGCGTGCGATAAAAATGCACACGTATCTGCTTTCCCATCCTTCTGCTGATAGTCACCGGCGAGAATAGCCGCGTAACAGCACGAAGCTATGCATCGATAACGTCACCGTGCGAGCGAGAACACACACCTGACGTGTGTTTTACGCTGATCACGTTAAACAAGCGACTTCGAGAGCGCTATTAATCTGCGACGATATTCGCGGGATTCAAACGAGTTAATCGACGAACGCGATAAGCAGAAACTCGGTGAAATTTTTATTGCAAATTCGCAATGATTTTAATAGATTCGGCATTTTTATACGAGATGTTGTTGGGAGAAACCTAATTTTTTAGATCTCGCTTAGCTACGCATGTTCCTTTCTTGCGGTAGATCTTCGAAGCAATGTTCGATGTTTTGCGGTGCAAGTTCATAGAAATCTTCGACCTCCCGAAGAAGCGGGGAAGCGTTTCATCGTTGGACGATCGTGATCGGTTCGTTCGACGGAATGCGCATAAAGCATTGACGATTACCAGAAGCAAATTGCCGGTTACGAGTACAGTACTCAACAAGCGTCGAGGAGCAAAGTTCCTACGGACTACCAGGTTTCAGGTCGCGAGGCATTGATCCACGCTTCTTTGTTGATATTACATCTCGTGCGAAACGAAATATCGCCCAGCTATATATTTTATTTTCTTTCTAATATTACACTGAGAAAAATTTCCATCGGAAAAACCAATTAAATAGTATGTCCGATGGTTAATTTTTCCGATTACGTTTTCCGATTAAATTATGGATATATCCGATGAAAATCCGATGAAATGCAATTACCGATGAAATTTGATTGAAAAACCGATCAAATTTTTCATCGGATATACAATTTAATCGGACACATCCGTTTGTTATCATGTAATTGGATTATCCGATTATATTTAATCGGACATTTTTCTCAGTGTATGCAAAACTTAATGATACCATCGCTAGATCTTGCATATTGTTTTGCACATACAGCTATTGACAAAATTATTAGGCACCCTTCTAATTATTGTACTGTACTGAATCTAACGCCTGAAAAAGTTATATATTTTTTTAATTGTTCACTAGAGCGTTTATTGCTTCTATACAGTAAACAACTTTTAAACAATAAATATCCTTCTAGTATTAGATTCAGTACAGTATACATTGGAAATCTAAGTGTTACTTTTATACACATATATGTGTAATTTGGTGAAGCACTTTTTATACACTTCTTTTCGTTTAAAATCACGACATAGTCTCTAAAAGTCAATCAGTGGATTATCACTGCGAACTGTAAATCAGTGACTATTCACTGTTTTCAGTGATTTTTAGCGAGTATGACGTGAGATACGTTATTTCACACGTTTCTTGCCATTTAACAAGATAATTTTTAAACGGCAAGAAATGTGTAAATAACGTAAATTAAATCACGTGTCGCGATTTTGAACAGAAGAAAGCGTGCAAAAAGTGTTCCGCCAAATTAAATGGCACACTGAGAAAAATGTCCGATTAAATATAATCGGATAATCCAATTACATGATAACAAACGGATATATCTGACTAAATTGTATATCCGATGAAAAATTTGATCGGTTTGTCAATCAAATTTCATCGGTAATTGCATTTCATCGGATAAATTTCATCGGATATATCCATAATTTAATCGGAAAACGTAATCGGAGAAATTAACCATCGGACATACTATTTAATTGGTTTGTCCGATGAAAATTTTTCTCAGTGCACGTATATGCGTATAAAAGTAACACACTTAGGGCCAGTTTCACAAACGTCGGTTAACTGTTAACCAGAGTTCAGTCAACTCCCTATTTTCTTCTGTCTTCTCATCTAAAAAGAGACAGAGAATCAATTAACCTTCGGTTAGCAGTTAACCGACGTTTCTGAAACTCGTCCTTAGATTTGCGGTGTAATGATTAGGAGGGCGTCTAATAATTTTGTTTATGGCTGTAGACAGAATCTGCGGACAAATGGAATTAATTCTGATTTAAATTTTAACGGGCTATCGCAATGTTGACTTCTGTTACGTAATATTAGAATCGCGAGTGAACAAAAAATGATGATAGCTCGCTTGTGTGAAAAAGTTGCGAGGAAATACTTTGTTTCTTGCTATTAATCCGTTGGCGACGGGCGTTGTCTTGCCGTTACGAAGAGACGCGGTAGAAGAGTAGTTCTTTCTAGCTGTTTACCTAGATTACCGTACATAACGGTGCTGCAATGTCCAAGCATCAACGCTATTTCGTCACTGCTTTACGCTCTCGCGTAACTTACGTTTATTGTCACGTGCACATTCGCCGAAAAGTTTGAGAGATTGAAGGAGCGTTCGCGGGATTGAAATTAAAGCGTTTCATATCCCTCGAAAATTTGCAAGCGCTCCAGACACGATGCACGCGCACCGAGAGTCAATACTAATCGCATGCTGTACGCGTGCAATAATAATGGCAAATGGAACCTGTTATTATTCTCGCAGCACCTGTCATGGAGCGACTCGACGATCCGAGGGAAACTACCGG